AGCGCTTAATGTTATGGTACTGCTCAACTTATTGCTATCAATACCGTGCATGCCAGCCTTCATTCATTTAACCTCAATGATGGACAAAGCTATATTTCCCAAAGCGTCCACCTCTAAAACTGTACATATTTTACTGTTATACGGCATAACCGCAATGCTATGTCATTTCTACAGAACCGCGATAGGATATATGCAGGCACCGGTTAAATGAAATTGCGACGCTATTCTCTGGATCCATCAAACATGCATAAGAAGACTCGCGCAATTCATATTTTTCGGGAATCTGCCAATGAATACTCAGATGACCACTCTTGGATGGTTCCACAGGGTAGCAATATCAGTGATTCATTCGATTTCCAGCTGATTGCCGTTTCGAACTGGTCGTACTTACGTATAACCGATGTTCTAGGTGACGGTGTCTATAAGCTACTTGATGAAACCAAGTGGGGCACTCCTGTTGCCGTTATTAAGTCGTAACAATAATGACAATTCTGGACAATAATGGGCCGACACCCAACACACAAGCTAAATGCTGTTGCGAGACCGAAACGGAATTATAGCATCAGAAATGCATGAATACAAGTTAACGTCATTGTATCAAGTGAACAATAACCTGCTCGAAGAACATCGATGATCCATTCATAGTAATTGTACTGATTTCCTTTTATCATTTATGACCTTACTAATATCTCTAGAGAAAACTCATCGGCTACGAATATGATGCCAATGACTTTAAGCAAAGATTCATAAGATTATGTGTATCATTTTCATTCAAAAATACCATACTTTAATTTTATACTCATCAACAATTAAACACCCAACAGAGAAATGTTCTCACGCACCTTTCCGTGAGACGTCGCAAATCAGTTTCCACGCCTTAATAAAATCAGGATCACCATTTTGCAGTCGCACAACACATAAATGAGCTCTCTTCTTGAACTCCTCATCACTGTCAAACCGCAACTTCGATTCCTAAGAAAATAAGGAATTAAGGCAAACAAGAACAAGACAGCCCTGCGAATCTCAAATAAAGTTACAGAAAAAGTCATAGAATAAAAAAGGAACAAAATACGAGGTGACTTTTCGTTTAAAGATAAAAATGAAAAGTTTGGAACTGTTGAATTTTTTGTTTCTGTTACACCTCAATGATGAAAACCCTTTGTGGTAAACCTTAAATGCGTTTATGTTCTGCGGGTAATTCCCATTTCTATTCAGAAATATCTTATTTTACAGTGCCAACAACAACGAGGGGGCAAATACAGCAAAAAAACTGGAGCTTCCTCCCTCACAAAATAGTACTTGTTTATATGTTTCTGATAGATGAAAGCAAAGGTTCCGACAAAGGCTTCAAATAACAATGTCTCGATAGTAAACAACCCTGATCCTTTAAAACTGATTGGGTCTGAATTAAGGACAATGGAATAAGGTAGAAAAATATATAAGGCAATTGCTTAAATCAAATTCATCAGTCAATGCGGAAGCCCAGGGGCCACTAGAAGCAAACAGCTGATCATGTGTTTCAAGAAAGAAGGCAATTTTACCTCCTTTACTCTCATATGGCTAATTTTGATATAACCAAAAAATGTTTGCAGATTCGTTAACTGCTTCAACTGTCAAATTATACTGATCAGGATTCAACTATCATTCCAAATAGAAATTTCTTGTATATTGTGGTCATAGCAGTTTTGTCTTGTATTGAGCATCATGCAATCTTCAAAATCACCGAAAGACTGATAAACATTGCAACAACAGACATGACGAGAAGTGAACTGCCATCATTCCTAACAAGATCGACCACGCAATCGTTTCCTACCATCACCCCATGCTCAAGGTCACCCGTGGCACAAACGCAGGTAATATACTTGCTAGAGTTTGAGCACTTCATCAACATGCCAAAAAAAACTCGAGGAAAATTCGCTGCGTCAACCACATTCAGATCTATGGCCACACAGCTAAGTTATATCCAACACCTGGTTTGCCAAGAGGTTATCTCTGACCAGTCTAAAGACGGCCAAAAGTATAAGAAAATCCTTAGTTGCTGGCAAACAACTCAAAGAGAACATGGAGCAACTCAATGAATCAAAGGTTTAAAGTTTTACTGCTCATAAAATCTGGTAATATCACACGTACTTCAAACAAAACAAACAAACAGTGACAGCCAAAGCACGAAATGACCAAATGCTAACTGAAGATTTCCAAGAGATTGACAAAAAAGTGAGATTACGGATAAGAAGGAATCTGTCTCGCGACCTCCAACTAATTTAGAATAAAATTGAGAGAACACAAACTGATCGCCAACGACTTGATGCCCGTTTCTCAACTAAGCGCATCGAAGCAATGTAAAGAAAGTTGTCTGTTCAGGAATATATTCATGGTTAACACAAAAAACTATTACTTTCGTGCAAACGAACCCCCAAACCGCGCTTCTAGTGTTCGAAGTCGACCTCTGCCAATATGCTACCATGCCACTTACATGACGAGCAACGACCGTTCACTGCATGCCCCAAACTTAGGGACTGAACCGTTTGAAAACATCGTTTTGCAGGCATCCAATTCTGAGTAAGAAAGAACAGGATACCGCTGAGACACAGCAGCTTTCATGAATATTCGAACTGCCAACAGTGGAAAATCCTAAGCGTTTTCGTGTAGTAGGTCTTGACGCATTTTCAACAGATCTTTCATCAGAAAC